TGGTCTCCTCTTAACACCGTAGAGAAATGCATGGATTTCCGTACACGGAAAATATACAGCTTGTAGTTTTGAAACCCTGAATGCAAGTGTAATAGCAGGTCGGGTTCAAAATTATTCGGGAATTACAAAAGTTTTTTAAAACCGAATTATACTCTTCTTTTGAGTATGGAATTGGAAGAAGACGTAACTTTCTACCGAATAAGTAAAAGGATGAATATTGTTAAGCATGTTTTCAATTAAATATAATTGAATTTTCAAGGGCATCGAAAATCAATGAGAAAATTGCATGCTACTTAAGTAGCCCTTTTTGCAGAGCATAGATCTCGCATGCAGCCGAAAAAAAGTTCATTCGAAAGCCGACACCCTGAGGTAACTGGATCACTATAGATTTATGCTGCGCCATGATTAGTTTTACAAAACTACTTAATTTATCTTTTCGAAACGAGGACGCATTTCGAAATTTTGGTTGACATTTCATGAGTTAGTACATCTACGGTAAAATTAGAACTCGGACATCAACATGGTTCGTTAATTAAAACCAGAAGATAGGCCTGGGTTAGTAAAAGTTTGTGGACAGTTCAGGCTATCATATCCTTTGCTTAGGACCTACGAAAAGCTATAAGCGGAGAAATTTCGCACTTTATTATGGTGTCAGTCAGACACCCGACGGCGTTGTTCAATATGTTTTTTGTCTTCTTATTGGCCTACTAGGATCGAAAACAATGGTTTTGTGAAAGACGTTATGGCGGCTGCCCAAGGGAGAAATACAATATACAGGTTATAAAATATGGAGGATAATTATAAAAAGGGCCGGGTCGATTCAGCAAAATCCGTGATACGTAGAGTTCAAGTAACTCCGAGCGGAAGTCCAGACCAGGCGCCACTTTTATTTGCTTACTGGGGAATGGCTCAAAACCAAACTAGCACAAACAGCAAAAAGGGTAGAAAATGACCGTATGAGAGACCTGTGCGTAAGAAGTTTTTGCAATAAATAATCCCTATGTTGCATGAAAAACCATAAATTTTAAGGTGGAATGCCTAAGCGTCAGTAGAAGCGAAACTAAGTTCGAAAAATTAGGTTCTGCTCTCATGCTTTTTCGAAAGAGTTCACTCGAATAACTCGCCTACGAAAATATGTCCAAATTTACTGGACGCCGCAGCCATGAAAGACAAAAGAGGCTAGATTTTACAAAAATAAAATTATGCAAATGAAAAGCATACTTCGAGGTTTGCTCATTGGATACTCGAGGGACGGATGGTTGAGGATGACCTGTCGGAATATTTGCGTACTGACACAGGCCGACTGAGATCTGTGATGGGAAGCAAGCGGAGAGGAATCGGATTTAAACGGTGGCGCACTTTCGGGAACTGGTAAAGAATCCATCCTTCCACAGTTTCCCAACTGTTCACTGAGTTTCCGCGCCACGCTGGACATGTCGTCGGGGCGAAACGCCGGGATATATATTATTGTTGCAAGCATGAACGCTAACCAACCATCAGGCTTGTAATCCTCTTCCAACAGAATCGGATAGAAAGGCACTCGCAGGTCGTAGGCGTAACGCATTTCTTGGCGGCAGTGAGGGGAATCCTTAAAAGCTTGACATAGGCCTAGTATAAGTGCAGATGCACCCTCAACACCTTCGGCCATTTCATCCACAAATGACCCATGAGCTAAATTAGAAAGAAGCACTTTGTTAGTTGTCTGAACAGTTTAGGCAAGGTATGTTGTATCATATTCTGCCACTACCCGGGCATTACGCGTCCTACGAATACATTCGAACAGCTGTCCATTTAAAAGCCCTTAGGCAGTTCTAAGCGTCGTGAACTCTGTCGGTAATCTAATAAAACCGAACTGGACTGAAACACGCAAGCATTTCCAAAATATTACTAAAACAACAGCGATGTAAACAAACAGCAAATAGAGAATTCAGAAACTTACACATGTGATCAACATCAATCCAGACCTCATAACCGAGTTTCACAAGCTCCTCCTTCAACCTGACCATTGTCGGTTGTGTTGAGTGCTGGTAACTAATCATTATGTGGCCATCTGGCCGTCGGATGGATTGTCCAAATGTAGCCGAGTAGTCCATAGCCGAGTGCATACCTTCAGTTTGTGAGCTTAAATTCCACAACAATCCTTGAACAGACTTCTGACATTCCGAGGACCATGATTTGTCACGAAAGCTTTCGCACAAAAGCTCCAATTCTGAAGAGGGTGTAAGGTACTCGCGGCTTTCGGCGACAAAGCTGAGCTGCCAAATAAGCTCAATGGTCATCGCTGCCAAAGAGTCACAGGAGACGTAACTGTATGCCTTTTCGGCAGTATTATCGGTGGAGTCGGTTTTTTCGTCCTCCGAGCGCTTTTTCAAGTCTTTCGAAATTTGCAAGGCGTACTTTGCCAGATCCAAAGCCTTGTTCTTTACCAGGCTTCGTTTGTTGCTGTCCGGACTCGCGAGTTTGTTAAGGCTTCGAATAATTTCACCTGCGTGGTAGCCATGACTGGAAGAAAAGTGTGTGGGAGAAGAATCCAATGCATCTTTCAACATGGCAAGGACGTGTACAAGGTGGGTATCTGTGGCGTGAATTTTAGCGTTCTCTCGTTCATCCACGATGGCAGCCAACAGGAACAGGGCAGCAGTTCGACAGGAAAGCACCTCATTCTGGGATGTCTTTTTACATATAGTTGCGTCAGCTGTGAAAGCAACGAGAATTCTGACAGCGTCAAACCGCCTGTAGTCGCGTCTTACACATGGGGAATGGTTTATTATATTGTGTAGAATTCCGATGGAACAGTGAACAAGCGTTCTGGCCCTCGGGAAACACCAGCAGGTAGGAGCCATGAGTTCAGGGCGATTGATAAATTCAAACAGGATACGGTGGATGTTCGAAACAGTGAGACGACAACAAACCTCTGGGCTCTTATCGGTTATGTTCCATAAGGCCATGTGTAGCTTTGTAAACGTTAGCACAGGACGCGTGTTAAGAATTTTTAGATGTGAAGCAGAGTCATAAGAGATTAGGTACTCGATGTAGTTTTTATAAAAACTGACGCACTCGTCGGTGTCCACGAGGTTCACAAGCCATGGATCGCGAGTTGTACGGCATGTCATTGACGTGCTGAGATCCCTTAACCATGTGAAAACCTCCATCGTCGACGGATTCTGAATCGACTGCTCTACGGTTCCAGCAAATATTTCCGCGAGTCTGTTTGCATAGATGTTTCGCTTTGTCATCTCACTTTCAATGTTATTAATCACTTCGTGGTCCTCGTCTTCCGACCCATCACAAGAAGAAACGCTCTGCATTTCTGCAGACAACTAAGTGTCGGAAAATCGCCAATCAGACAAGAAGTACTGCGGGAACGCCGTAAACACCACACGTGAGGAGAACAACCGAAAACCCATTGAAGTGTATTGTTATTGAAGTAGAAAAATAAGCGCACGTACTTAAGAACAAAAGATATCCAAGAAGAATAATGTCATTTGTCCTTACCAGTAACCTACATTTATCAGTCATATTCGAATGCAGTTGGAAGCATCGTATTAAGGGCGTACTCACGTATGAAAAAATGGGCTAAATATATCAGACAAGACCGATAACTTTTCGTGCAGTTCCGAGGCAACCTGGTTGTCTATTAAAGTGCCGAGCTCGCCTAGCCTCGATATCCTGACAGTTTATCGACCGCCGAGACGGGGCAACATGGCCGACGCTCGCCTGTTGGAGGAGCTCGAAAAGTTCACTACGCGGCCTTATATCCTAATCATGTGCGACTTTAACGCGCCTCATATTGACTGGAGCTCAACCGATGCAAATAGCTCAGAACAGACCTCCGATAGGAGTTTTCTGAACACGGCACTGAAGCTATTTCTCACTCAACATGTCATGTTACCAACTAGAGTACTCGAAGGCCGATAAGCCAACTGCCTTGATCTTGTCATTACGAAGTCACAGGACAGCATTGATGAGGTGTCATGCCTACCCCCCTTAGGTAAAAGTGACCACATCGTTCTTCTATGGGATTACTCGCTTTTTTCCATGCCCAAGAAACCCGGGGAAGTTAGAAGAAACCTTTGGCGCGGGGATTTCGACCAAATGAGGGCTGAAAGTGTACGCATTGAGTGGGAGTCCATATTTGTTGGGAGCATACTCGAAGACTAGCAACGGTTCCGAGAAATTCTGCACAAGCTGATCGTAAACCACTGTCCGCTTTCACGGAAGAGGTTGACGAACAGACCTCGATGGCTTACGCAAGCCTTGAAGAATGAAGTGAATAAAAAACGACGGCTGTGGAAAAAATCGCTTTCTGACTGGAGCCCCACATCTATATGCGCGTACAAAATTCAAAGAAATCGAGTCAAGGGTCTTATCCTCAAAACAAGAAAGGAATTCGAACGGGATCTGCTTAACCGTGCCGCGGAGAACCCTAAATTCTTCTACGGTTACATTAGGCAGTGCACGCGGAACAAGGACCCAATACCCCTGCTAAGGACTGCTGAAGGCGAACACCTCACTGACGACAGGGCGAAAGCTGATCACCTTTCAGAATTTTTTCGGTCTGTTTTTGGTAGCGAAACAGGATTCAACCCTTCGGCCCCTCAATCCTTCGAAGACACCCCAATTATAGAGACCGTCCAGTTCACTGAGGGTATGGTTCTGACGGAGTTGCTGAGGCTAAAAGAATCCAAATCACCATGTCCCGATGAGATTCCGGCGAAGATTTTGAAGGAACTCGCCGGTGGGTTGTCTGAGCCACTCTCCATGCTTTTCCATACATACTTCGAGACCGGATATCTGCCACCCGACTGGAGGTCGGCGTGTATTACGCCGCTGTACAAGGGCGGAAGTCGGGTCACTGCGAACAATTACAGACCGATCAGCCTCACCTCCATTTGCTGTAAGATTATGGAGATAATAAAGTAACGACTAATGCAGTTCCTTGAACAAAACCATTTGCTTTCCGATTCTCAGCATGGATTCCGAAAAGGCAGATCCTGTGTGACAAACCTGCTCTACTGTCTGGAACACTGGACTAGGGCTGTTGATAGAGGAGATATGGTGCATGCCATCTATATCGACTTTAAAAAGGCCTTCGATAGTGTGCCTCACCACCGCCTTCTATATAAACTTAGCCGTGCAGGAGTGCGAGGTAAGCTTCTGATGTGGATTCGTAGCTTTTTAATCGGCCGCTCTCAAGCCTTCCACGTCGGTGACCAACAATCTGCCGAGGTTGCCGTTAAGAGTGGTGTTCCCCAAGGCTCTGTTCTTGGCCCTACACTGTTCCTCGTATACGTCAATGACTGCGCACACGAACTGAATTGCGATGTCGCAATGTTTGCCGATGACATTAAGATCTGGAGTACCATACGAAGCGAAGTTGACGAGGCGCGACTGCAGACAAATCTGGACCACCTCGAGCAATGGTCGAAAGACTGGCTTCTACCGTTTAACGTAAACAAGTGTACTTTCCTACGCGTCGGCAGAACCAGTTCTCCTAACCACACGGTCTACCGTCTGACTGGCAAACCACTGCAAGTCGACGCCCAGAAGGACTTGGGTGTATGGATCACAACCTCGCTTAAGCCTTCGCTGTAATGTTCAAAGGTGGCCAAGTCGGCGATGTCCATGCTATACCTTGTCAAACGGGCGTTCTCCTCCTTTGATGAAGACTGCTTCTCCAAGGTCTTTCAAACTTTTGTGCGACCGCATCTGGAGTTTGCTATCCAAGCATGGCGACCCTGGACCGCTAAAGACTTGGGCATACTCGAAAAAGTTCAACGGCGAGCAACGAAACTTGTATCTGGGCAGTGGTCACTACCCTACGAAACGCGATTAGCTAATCTTGACCTCTTTCCTTTGAGTTACAGACCGCTACGTGGGGACCTGGTACATGCTTTCCGCATCGTGCGCAATCAGGGCTGCTGCCTCGCGTTTGGAGACTTCTTCGAGTTGGCGACTACGACTAACCTGAGAGGCCATCCACTCAAACTGCGCGTGGCTGGTGCCCCGCTAGACACCCGAAAGTTCTTCTTCTCCAACAGAGTGGTTGCATCTTGGAATGCCTTGCCTGAGGATGTTGTTATGTCAGGCTCGGTAGATAATTTTAAATGGAGACTAGATCCGCATTGTAGCGCGCACCACAATAACGCCGGACTACGGCCACCTTGACAGCCAACGCGGTCAATTAAGTGTTATAACGATGCTACTACCAACATTTAAGTAATATATGCTCATGTAATTTATTAAATTTGGGTCACGTCGCACACCGCTGTTCGCATTCACCACGATGCCTGTAGACTAAACAATTTTACTTCTTTTCCCGTATTTTAAGTGTGCCTCAACTGTCCGCTGTATTTTGATCAACAAAGCAAGTTAATGTGCCTCTAAACTCTGTTAACGCATGACATTCTGTGTTCATCTGTACAGTTTTTGCTATTCCCCTCGCATTTCTTTCATGTTAGTTCCTTTCCATTTCCTCCATATATATCCTCTGCATGTAACCAATAGGGATTTCAAAGGTATACACCTACTTTCCCTGAACTATACTGATACTGATACTGAAGGGCTCTCGATCACAAACGTCTTAACATATTCAAATATTTGGGAGGCCGACAGTTTTACTTATTCGAGGTCCCTAGTCCACGAATGCAAACCACCGACATTTGGAGTAATGTTGTAGCGGCCGAGTAGAGAAGCGCGTGCTGAGGTTTATAGTCACCAAATAGCGTGATAGGTAGTTTTCGTTCCCCGGGTCCAGACGCTGATGATCTTTCCTCTAAGAGTTGTGTTACGTCCTCGTACACACTAGCAGATGACAGGGGTGGTGTACACGTAATAATAGATGAACGGATATATAGATAAATAGATAGTGGTTTATTATTGAAACGTTATCAAACAGAGGAGAAAACAAAACTCGGGTGGATCTAACTCTGGTAGTAAACAACTGGATATGTAAACACTAACAATTCGGTAAAATATACGAGAGTCAAAGGGATAATATTAAAAAAGTCTCTTTACGTAAATCAGGCGTTGCGATACGATAAGTAGAAATTGACATGCAAAAGTAAGCGGATCAAAATGTGGTGAACGAGAACGGGCGCTTAGCGGAGCGCTGCAGCTGGAAGCGTCAGTTCGTCTCCAAGTGAGCGCTGATTTTGAAAAATGCGAGACGGGAACGAAAAGTACCGCTTTAAACAACCGTTGTAACACCCCAGCAGACCTGACGGACAGAAACCCCTTTATTTTAATCGCTATCATTCTTTTGTAGATTGATCGTGAGGACTGATAACGCGTGTCGATCACCGGCGACCATCGATCTGATTAGTCCAATCTTCAGTATTTCCCTGTTTATCCGTTAATGTTGTGCATTGGTTCTCATGTAGTTTGCACTTTATTCTTTTTCCAGATCTGAAAACCGTGTTTTGAGTGTATCCTTGTACATACCGAGTTTCTAATGTTTTCGTTCATGACTGTTTTTCTATCGTTCGATATTGTTCGTTTTGCTAACCTGGTTACAATATCAATACTCTGTTACACGTTATCTCTCACACCCAATAAACCGTTTGCATCTTCCATCCATCGTCGTCTAATACTCACTACTTACTTGTGCGCCTGCAAGTGAATGCCTGTGTAATGGATACCTTAGGTACGAACATTCAGGAGCCGAAGTCTCTGACCAAGAAGCGGAAGTTATACTCAGACTCAATCGATCCCCAGTCTGTTCCCTCACCGAGTTCACAGGACGTTATACCGTCTTGTGCAATGGTTTCGCAGTCGCCAAAATTAAATTAGGCTATCCGGTGGGTTATGTGTACTAAGGGATGCGGGGTCAACTGCAGGGCAACATGCAGCCTACAAGATCGCGAATTGGGCTTCGGAAAAAAAGGACTATATGACTTTAAGGTGTAATTTAGAATCCAAACAGGGCCACATGGCAACAGGCGATGCA